TACCTATATAATTGTGTATATAATGTATATGTATATAAAATACATATACCTAGATGTGCATATATATTCTAAAAAGCATAGTCACAGTGGGTGCATATGATGTATACTATTCCACTTATTAGTTTTTTTTCCTGTTTAAAAATTTTTTTTAATTTATTTATGTGTTTTTTGGCTACACTGCATAGCATGCGGGCTCTTAGTTCCCTGACAAGGACAAGAGGTTTGAACCTGCACTGGAGTCTTAACCCCTGGACCACCAGAGAAGTTCCTGAATATTAGTTTTTTGTCTTCTCCACTAAATGTTTTTGATTATCATTTCTTTTGAGTACCTACAAAACTGCTTCATTCTGTTTAACAATGGATAGTAATCTATGCTCATATCACAATGTAGTTACAGGTATATATTTATATTGTTTTACAGTTTTTGTTTTTTGCCTTTAAAATATTGCTGCAATGCATTCTATCAATATATCTTATACTCAGAAAAATAAATAGTATTTTTAAGCATGTATTGGACTAGCATAAGACAAGAGAATATGAGCTATGTGTAGCTGAAATTTTAATTAATTAATTACTTTTTTATTAATGAGTTAATTTTTGGTTGCCCTGGATCTTCGTTGTTGCAGGTAGGCTTTCACTAGTTGCAGCGAGCAGGGGTTACTCTTTGTTGCAATGCGCGGACTTCTCATTGTGGTGGCTTCTCTGGGTGCAGAATACAGACTCTAGGCACACGGGCTTCAGGAGTTGAGGCCTATGGGCCTAGTTGCTCTTCAGCCCACGCAGTCTTCCCAGACCAGGGATCGAACCCAGTATCCCCTGCATTGGCAGGCAAACCTCCCATCCACTGTACCACCAAGGAATTCCACCTTTGATTTGCTTTTAATCAAGATGTTCAGTTAATTTAAAAATTAGATTTAACTTTAAAATCTCAAGTAATAATGAGGTCATTAGGTTTTTATATTTATGAAAAAGTGACTATAAATTTTTAAAGAGACTTAGAGACTAAAAGATCTCTAAGGCATTTCAGTTCTCATATTTAAAGTGTCTTACCTTTAAAATAATTACTTCTTTATTTCTTACTGTGTAATTGGATTGGTCCCACTGATAGATAGGTCATATTTTTTCAGAAAATGGTGAGACAGATCATTAAAAGCTATTGCTTCGATATTTTTCTGTTCCGCTTCACTATTCTTCAGTTGTTTTCATCACTAAAAAAGCCATAGCAAAGTCTGCTTCTAAAGTGTAAGATTTGTTACAGTACATAGCAAAGGACATAATAAGTGTACGTTTACTTTAAAAAATTAAAAGAACTATTCAAATGCAAGGTGTGTTAATTATGTTTTGTTATATTCAGAAAGCTTTCACAAGAAAATGCTTCTTATTTTTTACTGTTTGAAACTGATGATTGTTCTTAAAGACATTTATCCACTTGCAAAAAATAACATATTCCAGAGAATACAGAAGTGTGATTTTACACCCAATAGAGAGGTCAGATTTACAGTGCAAAATATATAGCATGCAGTACAAAGTCTGTCATCCTAAGTTTTTATTCATGGTCTTCGGCATTCATTGTATTTCACAGCTTTCTTTATGTATGCTCACTAAAGGGGGGAAAACAAACCATTTATATTTTCATTTATTGATCTCTTGATATTCAAAGGATTAGTATTTTGTAAAATGTTTCCATGCTGCATAAGTGACTTTTGGCATCATCTGGAAATTTTCTCTATAAAATACAACTTCAGTTTAGTTCAGCCACTCAGAGTCCGACTCTTTGCGACCCCATGGACTGCAGCACGCCAGGCCTCCCTGTCCATTACCAACTCCCGGAGTTTACCTAAACTCATGTCCACTGAGTCGGTGATGCCATCCCACCATCTCATCCTCGGTCGTCCCCTTCTCCTCCGCCTTCAATCTTTCCTAGCATCAAGGTCTTTTCCAGTGAGTCAGTTCTTTCCATCAGGTGGCCACAATATTGGAAGTTAAAGCTTGAACATCAGTCCTTCCAACGAACACCCAGGATTGATCTCCTTTAGGTTGGACTGGTTGGATCTCCTTGCAGTCCAAGGGACTCTCAAGAGTCTTCTCCAACACCACAATTCAAAAGCATCAATTTTTTGGCGCTTAGCTTTCTTCACATTCCAACTCTCACATCCATACATGACCACTGGAAATACCATAGCCTTGATTAGACGGACCTTTCTTGGCAAGTAATGTCTCTGCTTTTTAATATGCTATCTAGGTGGGTCATAACTTTCCTTCCAGGGAGTAAGCGTCTTTTTATTTCATGGCTGCAATCACCATCTGCAGTGATTTTGGAGCCAAAAACAATAAAGTCTGCCACTATTTCCACTGTTTCCCCATCTATTTGCCATGAAATGATGGGACCAGATGCCATGATCTTAGTTTTCTGAATGTTGAGTTTTAAGCCACCTTTTCACTCCCCTCTTTCACTTTCATCAAGTGGCTCTTTAGTTTTTTGCTTTCTGCCATAAGGGTGGTGTCATCTGCATATCTGAGGTTATTGATGTTTCTCCCGGCAATCTTGATTCCAGCTTGTGCTTCTTCCAGCCCAGTGTTTCTCATGATGTACTCTGCATATAAGTTGAGTAAGCAGGGTGACAATATTTAGCCTTCACATACTCCTTTCCCTATTTGTAATCAGTCTGTTGTTCCATGTCCAGTTCTAACTGTTGCTTCTTGACCTGCATACAGATTTCTCAAGAGGCAGGTCAGGTGGTCTGGTATTCCCATCTCTAAGAATTTTCCAGTTTGTTGTGATCCACACAGTCAAAGGCTTTGGAATAGTCAATAAAGCAGAAATAGATGTTTTTCTGGAACTCTCTTGATTTTTTGATGATCCAGCAGATGTTGGCAATTTGATCTCTGGTTCCTTTGCCTTTTCTAAATCCAGCTAGAACATCTGGAAGTTCATGGTTCACGTATTGTTGAAGCCTGGCATGGAGAATTTTGAGCATTATTTTACTAGCGTGTGAGATGAGTGCAATTGTGCAGTAGTTTGAACATTCTTTGGCATTGCCTTTCTTTGGGATTGGAATGAAAACTGAATTTTTCCAGTCCTGTGGCCACTGCTGAGTTTTCCAAATTTGCTGACATATTGAGTGTAGCACTTTCACAGCATCATGTTTCAGGATTTGAAATAGCTCAACCGGAATTCCATCACCTCCACTAGCTTTGTTCATAATGATGCTTCCAAAGGCACACTTGACCTCACATTCCAGGATGTCTGGCTCTAGGTGAGTGATCACACCATCATGATCATCTGGGTTGTGAAGATCTTTTTTGTACAGTTCTTCTGTGTATTCTTGCCACCTCTTCTTAATGTGTTCTGCTTCTGTTAGGTCCATACCATTTCTGTCCTTTATTGAGCCCATCTTTGCATGAAATGTTCCCTTGGGATCTCTAATTTTCTTGACGAGATCTCTAGTCTTTCACATTCTGTTGTTTTCCTCTATTTTTTTGCGCTGATCTTTGAAGAAGGTTTTCTTATCTTTCCTTGCTATTCTTTAGAACTCTGCATTCAAATGGGTGTATCTTTCGTTTTCTCCTTTGTTTTTTCCTTCTCTTCTTTTCACAGCTATTTGTAAGGCCTCCTCAGAGCCATTTTGCTTTTCTGCATTTCTTTTTCTTGGGGGTGGTCTTGATCTCTGTCTCCTGTACAGTGTCACAAACCTCTATCCATAGTTCATCAGGCACTCTTGTCTATCAGATCTAGTACCTTAAAGCTATTTCTCACTTCCACTGTATAGTCATAAGGGATTTGATTTAGGTCATTCCTGAATGGTCTAGTGGTTTTCCCTACTTTCTTCAACTTAAGTCTGAATTTGGCAATAAGGAGTTCATGATCTGAGCCACAGTCAGCTCCCGGTCTTGTTTTTGCTGATTGTATAGAGCTTCTCCATCTTTGGCTGCAAAGAATCTCATCAGTCTGATTTTGGTGTTGACCATCTGGTGATGTCCATGTGTGGAGTCTTCTCTTGTGTTGTTGGAAGAGGGTGTTTGCTATGATCAATGCATTCTCTTGGCAAAACTCTATTAGTCTTTGCCCTGCTTCATTCTGTACTCCAAGGCCAAATTTGCCTGTTACTCCAGGTGTTTCTTGACTTCCTACTTTTGCATTCCAGTCCCCTATAATGAAAAGGACATCTTTTTTGGGTGTTAGTTCTAGAAGGTCTTGTAGGTCTTCATAGAGCCTTTCAACTTCAGCTTCTTCAGCATTAGTGATCTGGGCATAGACTTGGATTACTGCAATATTGAATGGTTTGCCTTGGAAAGAAACAGAGATGATTCTGTCGTTTTTGAGACTGCCTCCAAGTACTGCATTTCAGACTCTTTTGTTGACCATGATGGCTACTCCATTTCTTCTAAGGGATTCTTGCCCACAGTAGTAGATAAAATGGTTATCTGAGTTAAGTTCACCCATTCCGGTCCATTTTAGTTTGCTGATTCCTAAAATGTCAACGTTCACTCTTGCCATCTCCTTTTTGCCCTTACTCATGGACCTAACATTCCAGGTTCCTATGCAGTATTGCTCTTTACAGCATCAGAGCTTGCTTCTATCACCAGTCACATCCACAGCTGTGTTGTTTTTGCTTTGGCTTCATCTTTTCATTCTTTCTGGAGTTAATTGCTCCACCGGTCTCCAGCAGCATGTTGGGCACCTACCGAGCTAGGGAGTTCATCTTTCATTGTCCTATCTTTTTGCCTTTTCCTACTGTTCATGGGGTTCTCAAGGCAGGAATACTGAAGTAGTTTGCCATTCCATCTCAAGTGGACCACATTTTGTCAGAACTCTCCACCATGACCCATCTGTCTTATTGTAGATAATTAAGTTGATCTTAGTTAATTTCTATCACTGTTTATAAAAACTGGCAAAGTAGATATTCTGGAAATTGCATGACATATTTCTTGCCTGTCAGGGATATCAGATTTGGGTGTTGACATAATTCTGAGGCATGTAACTTTACTTGGCTTTTTAGACAGTATGCTGGCTATGACTACTCGCACCAAGGCCGGTTTGTCCCTGCAGACATGATGCAGCCACAACAGCCATACACCGGGCAGATTTTTCAGCCAACTCAGGCATATACTCCAACTACACCTCAGCCATTCTATGGAAACAACTTTGAGGATGAACCACCTTTATTAGAAGGTACAGTTGGTTGCAACTCTTGATAGTACTCTGTAGTATCCAGATGGTGAAAGTAAATCTTTGTTTGGAGAAGTTCCTCTTATCTTTAAAAGAATAAGGTTGTAGGAAAATGTTTTCTACTAAGTGACTCATTTTGAACAACACTGAACCAGAGAACCAGGTTTTTAATAGATCTTTATATAGTGATAATAAAGTATGTCACTATGTGAGCAGAGTAACTTTTACTTTAGTTTATTGATGAAATTCTGTCAGTGGAAGAAATGAGAGGAAATAGCATGGTATTGACTGTTCTGCATGAAAACAAACTGATAGAGCTAATAACATCAGTGAATGGTGTTTTTCAAATTGTATCTCCAAACCCAAAAAGCAATAGTTCTAAAAATTTGGGGGAAGATCAGATACTCTTTGGAAGTCCAGTGAAAGCTATACATACTCTTCTCAGAAAAATGCACATATATACATAGAAGACATACTTTTGTATATGTTTTTGCAGGGCCTCCTGTGTTTCTGAAGCCCTGGGTGTAGAGCCCCTTACCATTAATGCTGTCTGTGTATTCTTTCCTATAAAGTCATAGCTCAGAGTGTCTGATTCATTATGTCCTTACCTTTTTCTAACACCAGACCAGAGATTTGATATTTGTGGAATAAGCACCATAATCAGTAAAGACTGATTGAAGACTCACTAAAATAATATGATCTGGTGTTGCTAGATCACTTTTTTGATAGTGGTTGTTTCACTTTTTCTTTCACCCTGTTACAACAAATTCTGGTAAACTGAAAGTATATCACAAATCCTAATTGACTTTCTTATTTTCTTTTTCTTTAGAATTGGGTATCAATTTTGACCACATCTGGCAAAAAACACTGACAGTTTTACACCCCTTGAAAGTAGCAGATGGCAGCATCATGAATGAGACTGATTTGGCAGGACCAATGGTTTTTTGCCTTGCTTTTGGAGCTACATTGTTACTGGTAAGATTCTAGTTGGAACTCTCAGTGTGAGATTAAAGAATGGAATTTAAATATTCCACGAAGAACCTTTATTAAGACTCTTCTTTTACATCAAGTTTTGATGTGTCTTAAAAGGTATCCAGTTGTTTAAGTTTATACATATTCGTCACTTCTCCATTGGTAATATGGTATATTTAGAAATCCTCTCTTGTTCCAATAAGTGGTCCAGTTATTAGGGAAAATTATTAATAAATAACATGTGGCTTTAGTCACTCATCAGAATTCCTTCTTTTTTTTTTTTAAAGTCATCCTTGAGTAGTGTTTTTTGCGTAAGTACTGGTCTTTCTTATATATTATTTTAATATTTAATGAATTAATAAATTAAAAGACAACAAGTTTTAGTCTCTGTCTCTCCTCTCTCTAAGAATGTTGAAGCATATTGAAAATGAGAAATTGTAAATATAATTGTTAATGTTTGTTTTATTTTATCTTATGTCCTCTTCTGAATTAGAAGAGATAAACAATATAATGAATTAAAGATGGAATTTTTAGTCAGAAAAGCTAGGCATGAACTCAGTGCTTCTAATCTCTTCATTTTCACTTCCCTCTGATAAATAATCGCATGCCTCCCACCTAACAAGATTATTTTGGAGATTAAGACAGGTTATATGAGAACAGTTTGAAAAGTTTAATGTATTGTACCCAGTGTCAGATTTTATTATTATTAATAAACCTTTTTAAACTTCTACACTCTTAATCAAATATTTACAAATAAGTATTGATTCTAACAAAAATCCCAGAGATTTTTCCATTAATGTAATCTGTAGAGGTATTGTCATAATTGAGTTTCATATGTCAGATGTGTGACAAACCAGAACTTTTTAAAGGCTTTTCTGCAGACTGATTTTAGTGATAGCATGACCTAAATACAATGTTCTTGTAGCATGACTAAGAGTATTAACTCCAATTAAGCTATTGTTTATTGTCCTAAGATTGTTTAGTGATGTCTTTTGTAAGAGCAGAAAATTTTTAAAGTTTTTGCTTGTCAGAGAACTGTATAAAGCAACCAACAATTTGGAAAAATAGTGAAAGAAGAAAATATCTTCCATTGTATTCCTCTTGCCCAGTAGTTAATCACTTTTCTTTTCTCCTCCCCTCCCCACGAACCCTGGCTCCCTGCTTATCCTGGCTTCCTATCTCCTAATTCCTTTAACACGCATATAAAGTCAATGATGAAATTATTTCTGCTGTTAAAATGATTATGACTACATCTGCCAATGAAAATAAGTTGCTTCAGCGCAATTTTGGTGGAGTTGGGTGTGTCCAAGTGATATTAGCTACTGTCCAAATATTTGAATGACTTTCCATCTTGTTTTGGTAGTTTATTTGCTTAAAATCAGCCAGATTTCTTTTTAGAAATCTATGACTTGAGGTGATTCTACAATGGTTTTTATCTTTATTAGTTGAATTCTATGCCAAACTCAAATGGTAGCTAGAAAATGAAATCCTGAATATCTGTGTGTTGAGAGGTAGGTACTTTAAACTTCTTTAGAAAGATATAAAAGGCAGTCTGCTCACTGTTTTACTTCCCTGTATAAAGAATAGATACCTCTGTGGATTTTAATCCTCACAAATTAAATATCTTCTGTAAGTACCATTTTAGGTGAAAGAAGCCCAAAGTAACTTTCTTTGCCCTCTAACATGTCATCTTTTTGTTACCCATAGGCTGGCAAAATCCAGTTTGGCTACGTATACGGGATCAGTGCAATTGGATGCCTAGGAATGTTTTGTTTATTAAACTTAATGAGTATGACTGGTGTTTCATTTGGTTGTGTGGCAAGTGTCCTTGGATATTGTCTTCTTCCTATGATCCTGCTTTCCAGCTTCGCAGTGATATTTTCTTTGCAGTAAGTACTGATCTTTATTTTGGGAGTTGATTGACCAATTCTGTGTAATAGAATTTAGTTTACTATCTGTTTGAGGTAAATCACTGATTCAGTAAACAGATAGTGGCTGTTATAAATGAAGACTGTGTTACATACTTTTCAGTGATGAATAATAGAAGTGAGAATAAATTTAAAAATCATTTATACCATCTCTGCTTTCCATATGATAAGGAATTTCACTAGTTTTAGGTAAACTTACCACTGTCCATAAACAAATTGAACAGAGGTGATGGTTAACTTAAATATTGCATGGAGGAGATCAGGTTGTTAAAATTATACTTAACCTTCTCTTTGATTTTTTTTTATATCTCATTTCTTAACTATATCAGGCATATGCTAAGTGAATGAATAATAAATGCATATTCTATGTTTAGTAGCTTCTTAACTAAAACTGGAATTTTTTATGTCAAGAGACTGTTTCTAGCCTACTGTGTTCTCAGATATCCTTGTACACAGCTTTAAAGTTGTGTTATTTTAAAATAATACTTTAAGTAAGGGTTAAAGAGAGAGGTATATATTACTGCTCATAAAGTTGCTCCTCATGGCCAGTGCACAGATCCTCTCTCAGTAGTTCAATTCCCTCCTGGCTAGTGCTGGACATGAGGAAAGATTGAGCTTTGTTATACCTAGAGTGGAAAAGAAGGCACAGGAGAAGAGTATGTATACTAGAGGTTTGGAAGGGTGATGGCCTCACAGTGTCTCTGTTTTGGATGAAAATGCTTCAGATTTTCAGTGTAGAAACTGCTTCACTCTTCTAATTTGTTAAAATTGATATGCTTATATTTGAATTTTAAAGACAGGTGTTTCTACTAAAACAATGTCTTCCAGCCAGGGGCACTTTTGCTACCAGGGGACACTTTGCAATGTCTGGAGACAGTTTCAGGCGTCAGAACTCTGGAGGGGCAGGGGTACAATGGGTGTTTTATGGCTAGAGTTCAGGGTGCTGCTGAATGTCCTAATGATGAACAGGACAACCCTCACAGCAGAAGTACACACAGGCCAAATGTCAGTGCTGCCAAGGTTGAGAAATTGTGGTAAATTAAAAAGCAAAATATGTTACGAGTAAGCTTTTTATCACATGAAATAATTGAATTAACTGAGATATATCAGCATTTGAAGAAAAATCTTGGTTATTTCTGTAGACGTCTACATGTGATTTAATTTTTAAGTACTTCTCTTAAGAATTGGTTATGGTAGTACTCTTACATAACTAATCTCATCTTCTGCTTTTTCTCTCTGCTCTCCATTTTTCTTTGTCTGTTCCAGAGGAATGGTAGGAATCATCCTTACTGCTGGAATTATTGGATGGTGTAGTTTTTCTGCTTCCAAAATTTTTATTTCTGCATTAGCCATGGAAGGACAGCAACTTCTAGTAGCATATCCTTGTGCTTTGCTATATGGAGTCTTCGCCCTAATTTCTGTTTTTTGAACTGAATTTATCTGGGACGTGGACATCATTGGGCCAAGTAACGGAAAGGACTTCGAACTCTTCAATCGGACCAGCAAACGGCTAAAGTGCAACTCTCATGCAGATCTAATGTTTGACTCTTGGAGCAGTGGAAGTAAATAAGTATCTTTTGTTCATTTTTATAGAACTTTTGAATACTATATTGGATTTATGCAGTATGACTAGATTTAAAAGGTGTTTGTGCTTATACAAATAAGAAGTGCTATTTCTTTCCTGTTCCTGCAGCCTTAGAAAAACAACTTTTTCCCTTGCTAATTGTATGTTATGGTGTTTTTGATAGATTTTTATCAACTGTGGGAAACTAACCACAGAGCTGATATCTTAAAAACAATCCATAGTAGAGAAGACACAGGACTTATTGGAGAAATATTTTCCCAAGGAATTAGGAAAGAAAACTTGCCTGTATTGTCAAGTCAGATGCAATTGAAGCCGAAAAGTGATCCCAATGTAAAGTTTTATGAGTTTGCACTTCAGAAATTTGACGTTCCTCTGAGTTATTTCATGGAATTTTGGCTAAAATTCAGCAATACAGGTAGTTCACAGTCTACCTTATTGTAGACATGGAATGTGAATATCTATTTAAATATTAGCGTTAACTAAAACATAGTGACCTAGACTGGCAGACATGGAATGTGAATATCTATTTAAATATTAGCGTTAACTAAAACATAGTGACCTAGACTGGCCACATTAATGTTATAGTTGGATTTCCATGTTTCCCAGGAAAAAGAAAATCACTAACCTTTTTTGAGGAAAATATTTAAAATGTCAAAATTTCAGTATTGCAGTTCCCAATGTAAAGTGCGTTTGATGCTTACTGATTAAAATTTTCCCAATTAATTTAAATTGTGTTGTTGAGTTTACTTTTGCTAAACCAAGATTTTCGGTGTTCCTTTTTATTTAATTAGGCTCTGGTTTTGATTTGTATTCCCAATTTATTCTAAGCTTCAGGAATAGTGGTCATCTAGTACAGAATAAAAAAAAAAGAAGTGAGATTGAACAAAAAGCAGTTTGTTTTGAGCTACAACATTATTTTCTTGTATTAAACTTATTTCATTAATGTTGTCATGCTCACATTTAAAAAAATCTGTAAGGAAATACTGTATCTTGTGTACTGATTGGCTGTTTCTAGAGAAACTGCTTCTGATTTTGGACAAAGCTCAGTTATGAGAAGGGTGCCATATTGGGAGGAAGTATTGCTTTTTTTCTTTCTTTTCTTTTAAGAAGAGACTTTTAGACTAAAAAGAAATGCCAAGCTGACATATTCTTAGTTCTTTTTTAGAGCTAGTTTTCAACCATAAAAGATTAAAATAATATAAACATACTACTTATAAGAAGATCATGATTTCTGATCTCTGGAATTACGAATTTATTTTTCTTCATTAATATTTAATCTTCTGGAGGAGTGCACTCACTAATAATTAGTTTTTGGCTGGATTTTTAAACTTACCAAATTGTTTTAGAATATTGTTATTAAATAAGTCCTTGGATAGTATTTTTTTTTTTTTGCCTTTTTCAATTCATTTTATAAATATAAACAGTTCTTCCTAAGATGAATGTCATGGGTGCCTTCTGTTAGTATCAAGTTATTCCTAATGAAGAGGGTAGATGATGTGCTGGGTGTTAAAATCTTCCACTGTTGGTTAAACTTAAGACCATTAATCTTCAGCCAGATTCCCCAAATGAATCAAATTGTTTTCTTATTTTTTGCCTCCACCTCCAACAAAATAACCTTTACCTTAAATCAGTGATGTAGAGATTTTTGTTGTTAGCTGTCTTTTATTTAACCCAAAATAATCAGTTGCAAAGTTATTTTATATTTAGCTATTTTGTCAAAACAGCTATACAGTGGAGTTGCCTTTGATATAAGTAAGAGTTGAGTTCTCAAATATGCTTGTTACATGAAGAGTCATATGTAGCCAAAATTTCCCCTTTGTAAAATTCAAATCAAAAATACAGTATATATAGCCATATTTGTGCATACTTAGAAAACAAATATACTGTGTCTCAAGAATACTATGTGGTAACTTTTTTCTACTGGTTCAGTTAAGTGTCAGGAAGAGCATATGGTTTCCTTTTACACCCATTTTATGCCAAAACATGCTTGTACCTTTAAGTACTGGAGATGCTCACAGCATTACTAAAAGCTTGCCTGTTCACTCTCTCTGAGTAAAACTGTCTGGGAGTGGAGTTTGCAGGTTCACTCATTCAAGCTAGTGTGTCGTTTATGCAAGCACGTGTATGCCAAGGACGTGTAGTTGATTTTACATATAGTGTAAATGTGTATTTTACAACTTTGCTGTAATACTGCATTTACCAATGGATGTTTCACAAGCTGTATAACAAAGCTTATAGAGATAGGCATTCTTTCGCCAGATATAGTTATGCAGATAATGAAAAATTCTGTAAATATTTAAATACTGACTATCCTCAGATGCTGCCCATCCAATCAAAGAGAATTGTTTAAAATATATCTGATGACCTGATCATTGGATAGGATCTAAGTACTATGCATATGGCATTTTACAACGGCATTGCTCAACTCAGATATACTAAGTATATCAAAATATACTTAAAAAATATACTAAATGTTATCAAAACTAAGGACAATTATCTCTATAATGTTATCTTTCAGGATATTCTTATGCAGTCATGAAGAATTACGGGCATCACAATAACATTTTGAGATCTGCCTGTTTTCATATAGAGCAGGTCTAATGTAATGACTCAGACAATTTGCTTAACTTGCCCTGTGGGAGGAAAAATATATAAGTGACACAGTGCTTGGCCTTTCATAAAGTAGGGTCAAAAGTTTTCCAAAAAACTCAATACACAGATCATAGCATGAATAGAATAGCATCGGGCCTTCCTTCAAAACTTTACCTAGAGCGAACTTCCTCCCCAAATCGTGGCCCCAAGTGAAATCTATCCTCCCAAGTATCCACTGATTCATTTTGTAGTGTCAGATTCCAGTTACTGGTCACCAAATGAACTCACTTATTAAAAATCTTAATTTATTTGGGAAAAAAGCTTAAAGTTATTTCTCAAGCAATTTGTATCTAATAATATGCTTATTTCAAAATAACTTTAAGAATGAAACATTTAGTATCAAGGCAAAAACATAAGTACCTTTTCAAATATAGTAATTAATAATGAGTTTCTTTTTTTCTTTTTAGGATGTATTTAGGGTTTGGGAAAAAGAGTGGCAATAACAAGATATCAAGGTTAATTGGAAATACCATAAGGAAAAATTGGTTCCTATACTTTAATGAATAGATAAGTATGATCTGTCATTCACTTGTCAAGTGTATAGTGTTTCCTTTCAAACATCTTAAATAAAGCCTGTCCTCACCACTTTCTCCACAATGTAGGCTCTTATTACTTTACACCACCAATGAAGAAATAATTGATTTTCAATAAGCTCTACTTCGGCCACCATCCAAATTACTGAAGTCTGAATTTTAATACATTATTATTACTTGAATTTCAATAAGGTGCTTTGTTCATGAATACTCTTTTTGTAACTGGGAAATAGGTAAAAAATGAAGCATTAGATATTAAATTATTGATTTTTAGGGATTGACAGATTACTTTGCCAAGTGTTTTATATTATTATTGTATTGTTATCTCAGAGTGGGGACCTTAAAACCTGAAGAGTGAAATCAAGACGATGTGTAGTTCTGATTTTTGCATCACAGATAGGAATATTTCTTCTTGTCCTTTAAGTTCCTAGTCTAGTTAATAAAGAACATTACCTGCTGATGGAGCACAGTGTCCCGTGTTTATGCAAATAAATTAAAATGATTACATACTCAAATGAAAACTAATTAATCACAAAGCTGTTCTCCTAATTTAAAAGCAGAATTACTTTCTTGAGCACATTAGGTTCTAAAAATCAGATGTTACATTTTTTTGTGAGTTTAATTATTAATTATTTAGGCATACTTTGCATATATAATTTGTTCTTCCGTAACTGCTGCTAAATCTGCTGATTGCTTGTAGATTAATTAATTACATATTAAGGTTTTTTAAATAGATTTGCAACACTTGCAGCACACAAGAAATTTTAAATATGAGAAAACAAAGGAAGTACTCAGTAGAAACATTTGAGATACTTGTAAATTTATACCTACCTAGCCTACTCTGATTCTCATAAAAGTAGAGAAAATAGTATGGTTATTTCATTTTTTCCTAGGTAAATATATTTTAAATAAATGTCTTTGTAAAATTTAATGACACATTTACTTGCAGTTTTCAGTTTTGTAATTTTTGATAACACTTCAGGACTTTTTTTCTCTTGGCCATCAATGATCCCCAAAGACCTATTATATGATTTAATTTGCAAATGGAAATGTCTTTTTATTTCCTTTTCTGATTACACAGCATCATTATAATAAAAAATTATACCTCTATACAGCAATAAATAGGAATAATTCTTGATAAGATGTTTCAACATGGATAACTTGAAAATATGCTAAGTAAAAGACAAACTGAAAGATCACATATCATGATTTCATTTATATGAATTTCTGAGAAAGAGAAATCTCTAGAGGTGAGTTAGTAGTTGCGTGGAAGTGGGGATTGACTGAATGAACAGAACTTTTGAGTGATAATGGTTTTGCAACTGTATATACTAAAATCAGTAGAATGTACACTTAAAATCGGATTTTATGATAATGTAAATTATGTCAGGAAATTCTATTTTAAAGCATGAGGGGAGTATGGAAGGAAGAACAAACTGCTAGAACATCTGTATTTTTAGAGTCTGCGATGAGGAATATTAGGATGGATTTTAATAGAGGAAAAAATAACATAGTACTTTTGCCCAGAGAAAACAAATTGAAGTGAATTTGCCCTCCCCTCACATTCCACTGCCTACATAGATCCCTTGAAATAGATTGGTGTATTTGTTATCAGGCCACACACAGTTACCTTCTTCCTCTCCCCCTTTCCACCAGTGA